GGAGGTGGCAATTCTGCAATCTCCCCCACCCCCACTTCCCTCACCTATATGACCACCTTACTTTGACCTGTGGGTCACTACCTTTTGTCTGTTTGAGTTGTATCCTTTATAGTAAACCAATATAGTTAAGTGAAGGGTTTTGCTGAGTTCTTATATCGTTTTGGTAAGTTACTAGATGTGATGGCACATGGAGGGAATCTGAATGTGTAGATGGCGGAGCAGAAATGTCGGCAGCCTGGTTGGGCTCCCCGTCTGTGGCTGGCATCTGAGGTGGGACCACTGTGGGACTGAGCTCTTCACCTGTGGAGTCTGACATGAACTCTAGGTGGTAGTGTTAGAATTGAATGAACTGTGGGACACCTGTTTGGTGTTACAGAGTCGGAGAAGTGGCACTGGGACAGACATCACATACTTGGTGTCATGGGGGGGGAACCTTGTCATCCCCAGAAATACTTCACCACTGAGAGAAGACTAAGGCTAGAAGAGACTTAAGTTAGCTATTTCCTTCCTCCCAGGTCAGTTAGGCTCTGGGAAAATCCCAGTCAGTTACACTCTTGTGAAATAGATTGTTTTGAGGACAGGCTTTGTTAAAAAGTATAGAATATTCTGGACATATCTTTAAATGTCTACTTTTTTTGTCTTTCTAATTTTGGAGACAGTATTTTACCCTGGTACCTCAGTTCTGTAATGGAAGAGTTGATTCACATTTCTTGGCTCTTGTCCTCTGAGGACTGGAAGCCAGCTGCTATAAGCTCCATACATGCCCAATCAGAGACTAGAAGTGTGACTCCTTTTTTGATGTTTATTGAGAGCTTTAAACCCTCATCTCTCCTTCCTCCCTTTATGCCCCCCATCTGTACAAGGGGACAAGACAGCCCTGGGGGTCCTTCCTTTGGTTTTGGCAAATGATTCAATCTACTGTCCTGCCCCTGTTCCCCAAATCTCACATTAGCCCACCTCCAAACCCCAGTAAAAAACCCAGGCCAGGCTCCTTTCCTTGATCTTGCAAGGCATTTCCCACCTGCTTGAGAGGCCTGCCCTGCCTTCTCTGGACACTTGCATTATGGAAGCAAGAAACACTTTCATATCCTCTAGGCATGTGTGTGTTGTCAGTGTAGACATCTGAACCAAATCTCAAGTTGGGGTACACCTGCCTGGGCGGTTGACCATAACAGTTATAAAATAGGTAACTGGTAAATACTTTGCAATCCTGTTTGCTTTATTGTTCTATTGATAAGTCCTCCAAATCTTTTGATATTAATGCATGCCATCCTTGTATGAGTCTCCACGTGCAAATGCACAAAAAAATTCTATGGACATTGTTGAAAAATTGCTGGGCTGTAGATAGTGATCAGGTCAGATTTACAGGAAATAGTAGATTAAATCACTTGACCCTCCTCCATTCTTACAATTTATTGAATAACAATTCACAATTCGTAATGGTCTTCGACACTTGGGATTAGTAAAATTGATGAGTTTTTTTTTCTTCTCAGAATTTTTTGTTCTAATCACTGTGAAATGGCATCTACTGGACATTTTATTTTATTTTATTTTATTTATTTATTTTTCTACTGGACATTTTAATTCCAAATTACCTCTACCAAGGTGATGGAAATTTTTATTTATTTTATTTTTTTTTTTAAGATTTTATTTATTTATTCATGACAGACATACACAGAGAGAGAGAGAGAGGCAGAGACACAGGCAGAGGGAGAAGCAGGCTCCCTGTAGGGAGCCCAACCAGGGACTCGATCCCAGGTCTCCAGGATCACACCCCGGGCTGAAGGCGGCGCTAAACCACTGGGCCACCAGGGCTGCCCAGTGGACATTTTTAATACACGTATTTCATCTTCTGTTCAACATGTTTGACTTTTTTCCTTTTGAATCTGCCATCTGTTCATATTAACTCTGGCAGTTGATCTTTCATATTGCAGGTGTTGCTGATGCTTTTTCTTTTCCCTGTTTGGCTTTAATTATCTTAATTTTAATATAATAGAATTTGTGTGTCTCCGAGTTTATGGCTTGCTGTTTTTGTTTTGGTTTGCTCTTTTTCTAACGAGGAAATTCTCCCTATTTTGTGTCAATAAAATATCTGTGAATTCTAAAAGTTTCCTAGTTTTATCTTGCACAGTTATTTTTTAAAAGATTTTATTTATTCATTCATGAAGACACCAGAGAAAAACAGAGACATAAGGCAGAGGGAGAAGCAGGCTCCATGCCAGAAGCCCGATGTGGGACTCCATCCGGGGACTCCAGGATCATGCCCTGAGCCAAAGGCAAAGGCTTAACTGCTGAGCCACCCAGGCGTCCCTATCTTGCACATTTAAAGATTTTTAAAATTATTTTTTATTTTATTTATTCATGAGAGGCACAGAGAGAGAGAGGCAGAGACACAGGCAGAGGGAGAAGCAGGCTCCACGCAGGGAGCCCAACGTGGGACCGGATCACGGGTCTCCAGAATCACGCCCCGGGCGGAAGGCAGCGCTAAACCCCTGGGCCACCAGGGCTGCGGTATCTTACACATTTAAATCTAAAGTGAATTGGGTATTTTCCATGGAACATTGGGGAATACAATGCATTTTCCAAGTAATTAACAGTGTACGCCTGCCTTTTCATAGTGTTCATGATATTTGCAACTTTGCTACAATGACTCTGTGCCCTTGACTAATTTCATATTAAATACCAGCCTATTGAAGGCGCTTTCTACTCTTGTCTGCTTATATCTCTGTCTGGAATAATATAGCTTAAAAATCCTTGATGTGTGTTAGGTACACCACCACCTTGTTCTTCAGAAGTCTCTGTCCGGTTCTCAGCATTTGTTCCTTCTATTGGGCTTGTATGAGTACTGTTGACTACTGAAGAATCTGTTTTGGGGACTCTGGAGTTTTATAAAGGTACCATTTGGGAGTGGTGACATCTGAGGGACACTGAATTCTTGTTAAGAACAGTTGGCATCTGTTCACTTATTTCATTCTACTTTGACATTAAGCAACAATTTTTGCATTTTTCCATGAGGATCATTAAATATGCTTTAGTCTCCTTAAATACTGAAATTGATGTGTATAAGTTAGGAGAAAGTTTTCAAATGTCATCTCGTAGTGTAATCACATAGGATGGGCTCAGTTCTTCAACATGTTTTGAGTATACATGTAAATTATTGTCTACCAGGGAATTTTTTAAAAAGATTTTATTCATGAGAGACAGAGAGAGAGAGACAGAGACACAGGCAGAGGGAGAAGCAGGCTCCATGCAGGGAGCCTGACGTGGGACTTGATCCCAGGTCTCCAAGATCACACCCTAGGTTGAAGGCGGCCCTAAACCGCTGAGCCATCTGGGCTGCCCTACCACGGAAGTTTAATAGAGACTCAGTACTTGGAATGTTTGTTGGGCCTGGTCCTGTCAGCACTGTTTGCCAAACCTGTAACAAGTTAGATTCTCAAAAGGAAGATAGGAGTTTATGTACTGTAATGTTTGCATAAGTGCTTCAGGCACACTGAGGCAGTCTTATCTGTAGGGTTGATGAAGTCACTCCCAAAACCCCAGTTCCCAGATACCAGCACAGGATGAACTTTGTCTTTGTCATCCAGTATTTCTAAGGGTAAGCAATCTTAGACCTGCTAATGTTCACTCTCTTCCTCACACTAGATAATAGAACTGTTTGTGAGCATGCTCTCCACTTCCCATGTGGAAAGAGTTGTTAGAACTGACCCAGGCAGCTCATTTCTCCCTGGATTCACAACAAAAGAGGTGTTCCTAGTTTGCTGTCACTCTACAGAATAGGTCAGTTCTAGCATTAAAATTGCTGGGTGGAAACTTTTCTCTGTGCCTTAGATGCAGACATCATTGTGTCAATCAACATGATTGATCTCTTTCAGGGACCAGCATTTAGGGGAATTAATCCACTGAGGGATTCCTATGTTTGGGTTGGACCATCCTGCTGCCTTCCTAGCAGAGGAACTCAGAAATGGGAGGAGAGCCTCTAGAGTGACTGGTTGGGGATCACTTGCAACAGAAATCAGAAAAAAGGGATTTGGTGAGGTTTTTGGAGGAAAGCACCATTGGACTCACATCATGTGCAAATTCATTATCAGTACTAACATGGAATTCAGTGAAGTCACTTGTAAATTTCATGTCTTTACATACTCCTCAAGGTCACCAAGCCCTAGTTACAGTCATACAATTCTGTAAAAAAAATCTCTTCTGGAATCTTATCTCAAGATCTGTGCCTTTGTGTCTTAAAAATTGGTAAGAGGCAGCTGTGAGGCTTATGAATATATGGATTTTGAGGATGTCTAAGTTGTCATGCCTTTTCCTCATGTCTGAGTTGTATATTCTAAATATTTCCTGGTCCATGAAATGAGACAGAGCACAGAAGATAAAATTGATTCTTTGATAAATTATATAAACAAATTATAATTATACTCTTCTGTGAAAATATTCTTGTTCATCCAGCTGGATATGACTGTTTGTAATGATCTGGAGGACTTCAGCACACACTGGCCAACTGGATCTTGTAACAGTTTGGCTTCTCCTGGCTTCCATGTTTGGGGATGGGAATAGAAGAAAAAGCTTCCATTTTTTCCCTGTTTTTGTTCATAAAATATCATGCATTTGTGACCCTGTGCTTCATGGAGTGCTGTGTGACATTGTGAGTATTTAAGGAGGAGGTGAAAGTTTTTCTCACAAGGAATTGATGGTCTTGAGATGGAAATAGTTCTTTGATTCATACAGCATTTCTCCAAGGTGTTCTGTTTCCTGACAGTAGGGAGCAATGGAGGTTTAAAGTTATGACAATAAAAATGTAGCAGTGAATTCCTGTGGTCATGATGCTGATAAATTCATGAGGAAGCGAGTGTGACCAGAGAGGAAGAGTCTGATGACCGAGTCATACAATAAATGTTAAACAATCAGTCTTATGTGAATTTCTTATGAACTGAGTATAGATCACCAGTGTTGTCCATCTCACTCCTCCTCCTGTACACATATATGGGATATTTTAGGACACAGTGGCCTTTGAGGATGTGACTGTGAACTTCACCCTGGAGGAGTGGGCTCTTCTGAATCCATCCCAGAAGAAACTCTACAGAGATGTGATGCAGGAAACCTTCAGGAACCTGGCCTCAATAGGTAGGGATGACATTATTCTTACTTACTTAATCAACCAGAGATCCAGCATCACTCGCTCATCAATGCTAATATAAGAGGTGATAGGTGGAAAGGACATATGTCAGTAAATAAATCAGCCATGATGACAGTTCATCATGGACCTAGAATCTAAAAAATATTCTTTTGTAATGTGTGCTTTTTCTTGGTCTGTATTTTAGGGGGAAAATGGGAAGACTGTAACAGTAAAAGTCTGTATAAACATCATCAGACAAATCTAAGGTAAGAACTGTGTCCCTGGGGGTACCTGGCTAGCTCAGTTCATAGAGTACACAACTCTTAATCTCAGGGTTGTAAGTTCAAGCCCCATGTTGGGCATGGAGCCTACTTAAAATTAAGAAACAAAACCAGTGTTCCCATGAGAAAATCTTTGTCATATTAAAAAAAAAAACAAGCAAATAAAATGAATCAGAGCATATCTAAGTTTATTTATTTTTAGGATATTTTCATCAAAAATTTTTTCCCTAATATGACCTAGATGATGTTCAATGTTTGAAAGATAGTAACATGTGGAAAAATATCTGGAAGCTATTTTTATTTTTTTATTTTAAAAAAGATTTTATTTATTTATTTGACAGAGAGAGGAGAGAGTGCACAAGCAGGGGGAACAGCAGGCAGAGGGAGAGGGAAAAGCAGGCTTCCTGCTGAGCAAGGAACCCAATGTGGGGCTGGATCCCAGGACCCAGGGATCATGACCTGAGCCAAAGGCAGACACTTAACCAACTGAGCCAACCAGGTGCCCCACAGAAACCCCATTTATGATTATCACTTTTGATAATAGCAATGATCATCTCCTTGCAGAACACTTAGGATATACTCACTTTCAAACAGTGCGAAAGCATAGGAAACATACACATTTTTCGAAAAATGGTAAAAAGTCATTGAGATAATTTAATAAATAGGAAATTGTTAAGCCATTAATAACATGCTTCTCATTTTTACAACAGGCATGTGATAGAGAGACCCTGTAAAAATAAAGAAGGTAGTAAATGTGGAGAATCCTTCAGCCAGAATCCAAATCATAAGCAGATAAAGAAAACTCCTACTGGAATAAAACTACGTAAATGTAGCTTCTGTGGACAAGTGTTCAGACATCATTCATCTTTTAGCAGGCACATGATCTCTCACACTGGCCACAAACTATATGAATATCAGGAATATGAAGAGAAGCCTTATAAGTGTAAGGAATGTGGGAAGGCCTTCAAGCATCGACAATCCATTCGAGTACATGTAAGGACTCACACTGGAGAGAAGCCTTACAAATGCAAGCACTGTGGGAAAGCCTTCAAGCATTGCCAGTCCATTCGAAAGCATGAAAGGATTCACACTGGAGAGAAGCCCTATGAATGCAAACAATGTGGAGAAACTTTCAGGTATCACCACAACTTTCAAAAACATGAGCGAACTCACACTGGAGAGCAGCCCTATAGATGTAAGCACTGTGGGAAAGCCCTCAGTTGCCTTAGTTACTGCCGAATTCATGAAAGAACTCACACTGGAGAGAAACCATATGAATGTAAACAATGTGGGAAAGCCTTCAGTTATGCCAGTTACATTCGAATACATGAGAGAACTCACACTGGAGAAAAGCCCTATGAATGCAAGAAATGTGGGAAAGCCTTTAGTTGTCCAAATTATTTTCGAAAACATGAAAAGACTCACACTGGAGAGAAACCCTATGAATGTAAGCAATGTGGTAAAGGCTTCAGTTGTCCCAGATCCTTTCGAAGTCATGAAAAGAGACACAGAGGCGAAAAGCCTTATGAATGTAAAATATGTGGTAAAACCTACAGTTGTCCTATATACTTCCGAAATCATGAAAGGAGACACAGTGGAGAAAAATCCTATGAATGTAAAATATGCGGTAAGTCCTTCAGTTGTCCAAAGTATTTTAGAAAACATGAAAGAAGTCACACAGGAGAAGAACCCTGTGAATGTAATGAATGTGAGAATACCTTGAGTCCTCTCACTATATTTCAAAGACACATGATGAAGCACACTGGAGATGGACCTTATAAGTGTAAGGAGTGTGGGAAAGTCTTCGATTGTCCAAATTACTTTCGATGTCACGAGAAGATACACAGTGGAGAAAAGCCATATGAATGTAAGGAATGTGGCAAAGCCTTCAGTTCCTCCATGTCCCTTCAAAACCATGAAAGAAGTCATAGTAGGAAAAAACCTCATGAATGTAAGGAATGTGGTAAAGCCTTTAGCTTTCCATGTTCCCTTCAAAAGCATGAAAGAAGTCATACTGGGGAGAAACCATATGAATGTAAGCAATGTGGGAAAGCCTTTACTTATCTCAGTTCTATGCAAAAGCATGAGAGAACTCATAGTGGAGAGAAACCCTATGAATGTAAACAATGTGGGAAAGCCTTCATTTATCTCAGTTCTATGCAAAAGCATGAAAGAACTCACACTGGAGAGAAGCCCTATGAGTGTAAGCAGTGTGGGAAAGCTTTCATTACCCTCTCAAATGTTCAAAGGCACATGATCAAGCACACTGGAGATGGACCTTGTAAATGCAAGGAGTGTGGGAAGGCCTTTGATTGTCCTAGTTCATTGCGAACTCATGAACGTACTCACACTGGGGAGAAACCCTATCAGTGTAAACATTGTAGTAAAGCCTTCACTCGTTCTAATTCTTTACGAAACCATGAAAGAACTCATAATGGAGAGTAGCTATGTGAATGTCAGAAATAGGGAAAAGTCTTCAATTGCTCCAGTTCTTTCTGACTACATGAAATAAATTGCACTGAAGAGAAACTATAAACAGAAACAATATGGTAAATTCTTTATTCCCCATTATGTTCAGATACATGAAATTCATACTAGAGAGAAACTCAATGTAAGGAAAGTTATGAAAGCTTTCATTTATCACACAGTCTTTCAAGGACACATGAGAGTGCACATGGGGGAGAAACCATATAAAAAGCTAAAGAATCAGGGAAAGCCATCACTGCATTCCCATGGGAAGCCATGGAAGAACTCACTGGAGAGAATTACATTGAATGGTAAACATTGTAGGAAAATGCACTTGCCCCATCTTTTTACAAAACCACGTGAGGATGTATAGTGGTTAGATAGATACCTTATAAATAAATGAAAAATAAAGGAAGCTTTTTAATTAGAAAAGGATTTTCAAAGTCACTTAAAAACTGCACTGTAAAGAAACTAATATAAGTAACATGGGTAAGCCTGGTGCAGATTACTGTATAATACTCCCCCAGGTTTGACAACACAATAGAAACATTATTAACATTATACCTTTGTTGTCTTCATCAGTGGCTTTTTTTCCCCTCCAGTTTTATTGAGAAAAGTTGACCCATTACTACATAAGTTTAAGACATGTAGTCTGATGGTTTGATTTACATATATTGCGAAAAAGTTACAGTGGTTCAGTCTTTTTTTAAGATTTTATTTATTTATTCATGAGAGACACACAGAGAGGCAGAGACACAGGCAGAGGGAGAAGTAGGCTTCCTGCAGGGAGCCTGATGTGGGACTTGATCCCAGGACCCTGGGATCATAACCTGAACCAAAGGCAGATGCTCAATCACTGAGCCACCCAGGTGCCCCAACAGTGGCTCAGTCTTAATGTGATTCTCTGTTTGAGGGATTTCTACTTAGTTTTGCAAAAACATTGAAGTGGGAAAATACTGTAGGTACTCATTAAGCAGTGGTTTCTAAGTCTGATGGGTTATTTTTCCCCCTCAGTAAACTGCTAACATTTCCATTTTTTAAAAAGATTTTTTATTTATTTATTTGAGAGAGTGCATGAGCAGGGAGGAGGAGACAGAGGGAGAGGGAGAAGCAGACTCCCTACTGAGCAGGGAGCCTGAGGTGTGGGGTTTGACCCCAGGACCCTGAGATCAGGACCTGAGTTGAAGACAGATGCCTAACCAACTGAGCCACCCAAGCACCCCGAGTGTTCCCATTTTGAAGACTGTTTTTCATCCATAGATGAACTAAAGTATGTTTTAACATGCAAGTAGTTTTAATTTTTATACATTTTTCTTTTTTTTCTTTTCTTTTTTCTTTTTTTGGTAAGGATAGGACTTGAATAATGAGGTATCATCCTTAAAAATAAACTGCCAATTATTTTATCAGCAAAAAATGAGTTTATTCAGAATAGGAGAGAATTGCAATTCAGGGCAAAGATGCTATGCAATGCCATAGGCAATTTTGGAGAACAGAGGAGAGAAATACTCTCTATATAAGAAAGCAGAGGACTTGGGAAGGGCTGTTATGAACAAAACATTTGTTGGAATAAACTGGAAGTTCAGAATATAGTGGCTTCTCATTGGCTGAGTTGTAACTGTCATTGGTTGCGCTGTTGCTGGGTGTGGAGGAAGTCTTCCTCTTTCTGGGATAAAGAGGTGGTTGCTAAAGTGGTATTTCAAGATATGTCTCTTCCTATTGAGTGTGTAACTGAGGAGGAGTGGTAAGGCTGGGAACTTCTACTACTGAACTGATTCCATTTTCAACAGGTTTCCCTTTTTTAATTTTTATATTTCTTTTGATAAGATATTTTTTCCTTAAAGCATTACCAATTAAGAGTCAGGTTTTCTGGGATCCCTGGGTGGCTCAGCGGTTTAGTGCCTGCCTTTGGCCCAGGGCGTGATCCTGGAGTCCTGGGATCGAGTCCCATGTTGGGCTCCCGCCATGGAGCCTGCTTCTCTCTCCTCCTGTGTCTCTTCCTCTCTCTCTCTCTCTCTCTCTCTCTCTCTCTCTCTCTCTCTCTCCTATCATGAATAAATAAATAAATCTTAAAAAAAGAGAGACAGGTTTTCTGAGGTGGTTTGATCTTTCAGTGCCAGGAAGGAGCATCCCTGGTTGTTATATCCTACATTAGAGAAAAATTCATAGTTGTACACTACTTATAGCCACATTTGAGTGACTAGTATGGGTAGGGGGGAGAACTCTCAGGCATTTCCCTTCCAAAGTCTGTATCTTCGTCATCTTTTTTTTAAAGATTTTATTTATTCATGAGAGACACACAAAGAGAGGCAGAGGGAGAAGCCGGCTTCCTGCAGGGAGCCTGATGTGGGACTCGATCCCAGGACCCCCAGATCACAACCTGAGCCAAAGGCAGATGCTCAACTGCTGAGCCACCCAGGTGTCCCTAAAGTCTAGGTCTTCTCAAGGTGGGAAGTAGTGATCATCTTGGAGTGTTGAGCCAGCATCACCTTATTGGGTACATTTTTAAAAATACTTTTAAAAATTATTTGAGAGAGAACTCAAGCAGGGGGAGGGGCAGAGGCAGAGGAAGAAGCAGACTCTCCGCTGAGCAGGGAGCCCAACACAGGGCTGATCCCAGCACCCTGGGATCATGACCTGAGCCAAAGGCAGATGCTTAACCAGCTGAGCCACCCAGGTGCCCTTGGGTATATTGTTTTTAAACAGCTTGACAGGCAACCAAATAAAACCAAAGTAACATGACAATTCTAAATTGTATGATGGTTCAGAACCAGGACTCTGGTAGTAGCTAGTATTGACAGTTATTCCAACTCAGGAAGAAGGTACACTCTATGACTGCAAAACTTGTATCTCTCTTTGAAGTCTCTGCTTAAAGCAGCCATGGATGCAGAATAGTGACTATTGCAAAAACACATGGAAATAATTAACCACGTCCATTTGGGAAGATACAGTACAGGTATAAACATGAAGCAATATATGATGAATTTTTGGTAGAACAGCAAAGCTTCAAATAATTTTAAAAGAGTATTCTTATCTCAAACTGTAACCAAATGTGTTATACCCAGTAGGATTGATTGCTAATTCAGAGATCAAGAATTTGGAGGAGAATCCAGAATCCATTAACATTTCAGATGAAAGACTTGTGAATTTTGAATCTTCTAACCCTTCAGAGTAAGCTATTGAGAAATTTCTCATGGGATTATGATTAGACTATTTTTGAAAGGCCATGGTTAATTTCTTTCTTTTTTTTTTTTTTTTGCAAGGGTTTGGGAAATGCAGACAAGGGCTTTGTGTTTCCACAAAAGTGGGAAGAAGAGGCAACAGGAGAAAAGGGTATACCGTCCCAGTCCAAACCATTTGGGAAAGCTATCTGGTCAAATGTTGGCCCCTTCAATTATGGGAAATCTTTACCTTCCATCCACCAGAAGGTGTGTGGGTCCAGTCAGTGTTTGGTACTTTCTTGAGATGTATATGTATTCAAGGGTCTGTTCCCTGAAGTTTGGCAACCCAAGGGTTGGTTAGCAGTTCTGAAAAAGACTTTTCCAAGGATTGAAGAGTCTTTCTGGAGTTGTCTTTTCCAACACATGAAATCTACACATTGCAAGATGTAATATTTTAAGGTGGTTGACTCTCAGAAGTGCACTATTAAAAGATTGTGCTACCAAGGCATGATTATTATTTTAAGGATTTTATTGGGCAGCCTGGGTGGCTCAGCGGTTTGGCTCCTTCGGCTCAGGGTGTGATCCTGGAGACCCGGGATCGAGTCCCACGTCGGGCTCCCGCATGGGACCTGCTTCTCCCACTGCCTCTGCCTCTCTGTGTGTGTGTGTCTCTCATGAATAAGTAAATAAAATCTTAAAAAAATTTTATTTATTTGACAGAGCATGCACAAGCAGGGGGAGTGGTAGCCAGAAGGAGAGGAAGAAGCAGGCTGCCTGCTGAGCAGGGAGCCTGACATGGGGCTCAATCCCAGGACCCTGAGATCATGACCTGAGCCAAAGGCAGACACTTAACTGACTGAGCCACCTGGGCACCCAAAGTATGGTTATTTTTAATAGAAGCAATTAGGCCTTTGCACTATTGAAGTATATTTCCTTCTATTAACTGGGAGTCAGAGGAGACGGGGCAAGTGCATTGCATGTTTTGTGACTCTCAAAGAGTGAGAATCTGTGAGTTTCAAAGAGGATGGTTCTGGGATTTTGGACTAATGGCAATGTTATTGCTAAGGTATTTGGAAGGTCTCTACAGATTTTGCCTAATGAGTCTTAATAGTGTCAGTGCGTTCAGCTAATTCTCAGGTTTGAAGGCGATATGCATGATGACCATTGTAAAATCAGACAACACAGAGTTGTGGAAGCACCTGTTAACTTGGTTCCTTGATTGCTATGCAGTCCAAGAGGGGATCCCTAGGTAGGGATAATCTCTAACAAAAAAATTTTTTTTAAACAAAGTTGTTGTTGGTGGGTTTTTTTAAAGATTTTATTTATTCATGAGGGAGAGAGAGGCAAAGAGGCAGAGACACAGGCAGAGGGAGAATTTCTACAAGTTTTGGTAGGACTGAGTTATTTGACCCAAACCAGTGTTCTTTTAATCAGACCAATGATTATTAGATTTCTAATATCCTTTATTTCCTGGAGCCAGTGTTGGGTGTCTAATTTTTCTGATTATCATTTGGGAGACTATCCCTTTGGAACATGATGGAGGTTTGGCTATTGATTTCCTTGAATGGCATATTTTGTGGAAATATTAGTGAGGTGGTTTCCTTTTGCCTTGAGGGAATTCAATATGGAATGCCTTTAAGAATAGTTAGAGTGGCTGGGTAATAAATGACATAATGAATTTTGAGCATAAGAGACCTTTAAAATTTTTTATTGGAGATAAATACACCTTGTTCCCATAATAGTGTGAGGTCAGGAGCAACCACAAGTAGCTCAGTCTAAGCGTTTGTGTTTTTGCCCAGGGATAATGTATAATGTGAAATACAGGCTTATATAACATAGCCTATTTGGCTGAGATAGCCAGAGATAATGGTGCTGTCTCATTGACTTCAGAAGGAGTTGTAATAGCATACCCAGCACAATAGTTTTTATCTTTTCAATAGGAATAATCAGTAAACCATTAAAAAACCTGCATTAGTTAGAGGAGTTTGCTATACATTTCCCTGAGGAGTCAAAAAAGGTAATTTTTCAGCATTAAGCAGTTATGAGGGATTTTGTGTGGATCCATATATAGTTCTTGTTTTGAGATCAGAAGCCCTTATTATCAAACTTGAATGAACAAAGTGCAAGTTTTTGGGGTACTTTATCTCTTGAAGGTCAAAGGTTTTAACAGATGGATACTGTCTCCTGTGAAAGGGAGGCAGAGAAGCTAGTTGTCTACATCTGTAAGAAAGTAGAACCTGCAGAAAACTATATCCTCCCAATCAGCTTATAAGATTTGTGAAAGGTTTTGAAAGACTGTCTGAAATCTGAAGCATGACTACTGTCCAGGTGTATTTCAGTCCTCAAGTGAAAGCATAAAAGATACTGGGTATCTGTATCACCAGAAATACTAAAAATGCACTGCACAGATGAATTCTAGTGAAGAATTAGCTTTCAGTGGGTTGGACCGTATGGGAGTTAGAACAATGTAGGGGGGTGCTGGGGAATAACAATGTTATTGCTTGGAGGTCCTGTACAAACCCTCACTCTGCCCATTGCTTTTATTCATAGGTATAATAGGAATATTACAGGGACTAGTGTAGGGGATAATGAAGCCCTGTGCCCTGTGATTGTTTTGGGTGTGACCCCTTGAAAGGCTTATTTGTAGGTTATTGATTAATTCTGGAGAGAGATTTTGAAGGATCTGGAGCTGGATCATGATGGTAGGTATACTGTGGATTCTACCAGTATCAGTTGAAGATGTGCCCATTAAAAAAAAAAATGATAGCAGTTTGAATAGGGAAAAGTGATGAGTGTTTCCAGACTTAGATATGGTGTCCTCAGAGAGGGAGCAAATAAAAGGTGTTTAAAGGTCTTTTAACTCACCAGTTTAGCTATTTTGATTACTCTAAGTCAAGTTTTAGGATTATATGCCATCTGGGAGAAAGAAATTCCAGGTGATGCTTTTGTAAGAAATTTTGGCACAGCATACAAATGGGAGCCAGGAACTCAGGAGAAAAGCATGTGCATCTCAAAGGGCTATAGAAAAGGGAATTCAGAGACAGGAACCTACTAGCATTTATTACACACACTATTAGGAACTATTTTAATAGTCTGAGGCAGGGTTGAGTATTGAATGTGTAGCTCCATTATGCCAGTCCTTTCTCCAAGTTATTTAGAAGAAATGATTGTGAAGAACCTTGATAATTTCAGAGCCCTGTCATTGAGAATTTGGAAAGACATTGGAAACACTGACTAGTGGGCTAAGGGCACCTGGAGGACTTAAATTTGTAATGGTCTTTTTTCCAATTACTGGGCTGTTTGCAATGATAGAAGAAACTAGGTTTTTAATTTTATTTAGAGATCTTAATTTCGTGGAGTTGAACATTGAGATTTTTTTAAATTTTTATT